AAATAATTTCAAACTTTATCTATTAACGAACTTATATAACACAATTATTGCAGGTAATGGGTTTTTTTAATAAAATATTAGTACTGTATATAATTCAATTTTATTAATTATAGTCCAGGAAACAAAGGTTGTAGAAGGAAAACTCGATGGTAGTCGGGTTTTTTTGTAGTCAGGGGTGCTGATTATTAATTAAGAATATTCCCCAAAAATTTCTTTCCGCGTCCCCTAATTTCATCCCCCGAAACTCGCTAACCGTGAATTTTTTTTGAATTTGACCTCTAATACTTTTGATTATGTACTAAATAAGGCACACGTTAAACCCCATTGCGCACCAATATGATTTGCCCTTTTGCTATGCGCAGTGTGCAAAGTTGAGCGTTGCTTTTTTTAATATTATAACCAAATTTTACAAGTAATCGATCCCAAACCTTACGGTAGTCAAACATAACCGAATGGATGATTTTTTGAGGTACTAGACTTTTTTCAGAAGTTACTGCTTTTCAATGTACAGGGGGTTCTTTTTTCAAAAAATCCATTTTTTATTTCCCAAACGGCTTTAATGAGCCAGTTCGTTCTACCCTAGATTTTTAGGTACACTTATCCTCGTAACAAATCTGTGGTTTTTTTTTAAATTATTTTCATTGCAAGTGGTCCAAAAAAATTAAAGTTTTGAAAAAAAGAACCCCTTGTACATTGAAAAGCAGTAAAAAGTGAAAAAAATCAAGTACCTCAAAAAATCGTCCATTCGGTTATGTATGATTACCGTAAGGTTTGGGATCGATTACTTTTAAAATTGAGCTATAATAAAAAAACAAAAAAGTGATTTTGAAAGCAACGCTCAACTTTGCACACTACGCATAGCAAAAGGGCACATCATATAGGTGCGCAATGGGGTTTAACGTGTGCCTTATTTAGTACATAATCAAAAGTATTGAAGGTCAAATTCTGAAAAAATGCACGGTTAGCGAGTTATGTGTCAAAAAGCAAAAAAACTCCCCTTTCGGGGGATAAAATTAGGGGACGCGGAAAGAAATTTTTGGGGAATATTCTTGATTCATTATCAGCACCCCTGACTCTACATAAAAAAAAATAAAACCCGACTACCATCGAGTTTTCCTTCTACAATCTTTGTTTCCTGGACTATTAAATTTAAATAAGTGTTAAAATTCTCAATATAAATTTAAGAAAAATTTATATTGGATATTTTTCCCCTAGTTCTGAACAAATAAGCCAATATATCAAAATATTCCATAATAAACCATTAGTAATAGCATTATTACTTTTACATTTTTTTAATACAACGGCATTTTAAGGTGACCTATCTGAGGAACTTGCATTAATTACCAGCGCATATTTTGCATGCTTGGCATAGTTGTGTTGTTTTTCTCGCTTACGATAATGTAAAATCGCATAAGTATATATTCATTTATATTGATGCACGTGTACATCCTTCCTGGGTTTTTGTTTTTAACATTCCAGCCACGTTCTATTTGGAAACATTAAACATTTTTCTACTCGCCTCGATCTAGTTAGATTGAAATAAAATTGACAACAATAATTTTTATATGCCTGCTGAAAGAACGAATCTAGTGGTTTGTTGATAAATATAAATTCATCTACTCCCACATTGACAAGCTGTGCCTTTATAGCGTTTTAGTCACGGGCTAAAGTTAGCAATAGTGGCTTTTGGGCATTTTAGTCACGGGCTAAAATAAGCTTTATTTATAAATTGCGAAAAAGTGAGTGTAAATTCGTCACATGTCAAATATTTAAGAATTAAGATTTTCTTTAAATTCTTCTTTGTGTTCGTCGTAGATAAAGTATAGTATGCAACTCGTTTTATAAACTTTTCTAGGCACTCATTTTTATTAAACACTCGCTCGCAAGCTTCACTTCGCTTCGTGCCTAATAAAAGTTTTATTATAAAACTCCTAACTAAAACCTTGTTTATAAAACTTGTTACATATATATACAGGGTGTCCCAAAAGTCAACGATATCCTTTGAAGGACTAATAGGTCAGCTTATGACTAATCAGAATATCAAAACATGACCTTAGTCACAATCCACACAAGGTCTGTTCGATCTCGTAGTAAAAATACTAAAAATCACTGCAACACTGCATGATGGCGGCCATTTTTGTTGTTTACAATTTTTGTGCTTTGGGTTTGTACAGATTAATAATCGTTTTAAACGTTGTGTTTCTTACAGAGAGACTTGCAAGCCTTAAAAGAGACCTCAAAGTGGTAAGAACAATAATTTTACTCCTCTTTTGTAAAAAATAAACCTTATTCTATTAAATGTCAATTTGAAGGTTAATTTGTGGGTTATAAAATAACCTTAAATTAACCTTCAAATTGACATTTGACAGCCCTGATAGAATAAGGTTTATTTTTTACAAAAGAGGAGTAAAATGATTTTTTTTGAGCTGTTACTGGTCTCCACAAATGTCTTTACCCAACACGATTAAAGTGTTGTAAGCCATGATAAGAAAAATCTTCGCGCGGTGATCAAAGAATTTTTGTTTTTGTAATAGGCTTCCACGCAAAGAGCGCCACCTTCGTAACGAGCACATACTTTTTAACGCCTCGCTGTCACCTAAGACAAAGGCTGTCACATTTCAAGTTATTTTGAGAAAATGAAATTATAGGAAAAAATCTTTTGATTTTTCAGATTCATTCATGAATTATTCACTTGTTTCAATGTTATCTTTCCGGCAATAATTTTTTAGAGTTAATACGTACTAATTTTTATCGACAAAGTGTTTTGGACACATTTATTGACATTATTTTTCCTCTCATATTCTCTGAAATTCTTTGAAAAAGTATAAAAAAGTTTACAAACTATTACAGGACACATTTTAATTAATTTTTACCTTCAAAAATACAAACTAAAGCACATACATATAGGATGTTTTTTTATTGATTAACCAGGTGTTTGTATGCTAATTACAATAGAGTTTATTCACTTTTATTCACATTCATTTTTACCGATTTCTTTATAAACCTGATCCCAATCTTTAAGCGCAGACCTTATTCAATATGGTACCAAGGAATTAATTATTAATTAATTAAGTTCTTCAAGAAATTCAGAAAATCAGTCCAGACTTATGTTGACGGGTTATTGTAATTTTTACTATTTTGTCTGTTTAAAATATATCTTGCATTTATAATAAAAATGCTTATTTTGCAGATGCAATATGTTCTATTTATGTTTACCCTAGCAAATCTCGCTATTTCCAAGCATCATGCTTAATTGTCACTTTTTTGTCTGGTAAATTCACTGTAAACATTTCATAAAAGCAGACTAAATTAAATTCAGTCAGCTTTTATGAAATTTTTCCTTTTGCAAGAAATATTTTTTAATAAAATTGTTGCACAGCTGGAGAATCCAGTTGTTAACTAAATGCGGTTCACTGTAAAAATGTTAATGTTACTGTGTAAATGTTAAGGTAAAAAATAAATGCTTATCAACATAAATTTTACACATGGCATAACAATTTTCTTTTTATTTTCCCTCGGAGAATGTTATACGGAATACAAACAATACCAGAAGAACTATTTTCCTGTACATTACCTATATATCTGTAGACGTGGTTGTTCTTTTCTGAACATTTCGATGCGCTTCAAATCCACTCTTAATTGAGCATAAGTAGGCCACACACTTAAGCTTTACAATTAATATAATGGCTGCATACTACTGACATATGATGAAAACATTAGAAAACGTATCATTGTATTTTATTTCATACTGTGTAATAAACAAAATCGATAGAGGAAGCACTGTGGTCCAAATCCAAGATTTTGAAATATATAACACCTCCTTATTGGACCTTCCTGGATCATCCTTTTAAGATTTGTAAACAGCATTTAGTCGCTCGGGGCTAGGTCTGAAGAATACGGTGAGTGGGGAAGTAATTCGAAGCCCAATTCGTGCCATCGTAACTGTCGACTTGTAAGGTGGTGTATTGTCTAGATTAAAGAGAAGTTTATCTTTTTGAAATAAGACCGTTTTCTTATGCCCAAATTTTCGTGCTGCATTTTCATCTTTATGCTATCAGCTATCTCCTGCAAACTTTACTTTACGGTTGGCCAAAATAATTTTAACTTTTTAATGTTTTCTGCTGCGCTACCCCTATTACGGAATATGACCGTTTTAACATCACTTTTTAATGTGGAATTACATTAGGAATATATTATATTCCTTAAAGTGTTACAAAATGAAATATTCTATCATCGGATGACGAATAAACACTGGTGGTGCCATAATTTATTATCTATGGCGCCATTTCTGTGTTTATTATCTAACAACTTTTTGACCAATAAAACCTCACTTTCTCCCAACTAAATTATTTTTCTATGGTATTTTTTGGAAACGTAAAAAAGTTATAGTCTGAAACATGTTTGGAATTGCATATTCCGCTCTCGTGAAACCGTCAAATTTGACGGTTTCACGAGAGCGGAATATGCAATTCCAAACATGTAAACTTTTCACTTGAATGGAATATGCTGTATTCCAAACTTGTTACAGAATATACTATTATCCCAACAAAATGTCATACTTAATCAAAACGCAAAATTTGTTTTATTTTGTTTTATAGTTTAAATCACTGTAACCTAATGACGTATGTACATAACACGAATCTTTTGGTTGGTACTATTTCGCTTTATATAAAATGGCGCTATATCGCCGTTACGGGTAAATGTATCTATTTTTAACAAATCAGGGGAAAGATTTAAAGAAAAGGTATTATACATTTGGAGAAACGCCTCTATTAGAAAAGAGAAAATTATCCGCGCGGTGATCAAAGAATTGTTTGTTTTTGTAATAGGCTTTCACGCAGAGAGCACGATCGTTACCAGTGATCCAGCTGATTTCCTTCATCACAAGCACACCCTTATATTGCCGCGCAGTCTCATTTCGAGTTATTTTAAATTTATAAACGTAATTTGCGGCGTGAATACAATACAATACAAGAATAGTAACTTTATATTTGTTTCAGGTCCATGGGTATCCTTCTACCTCCGGTAGCCCAAGTGACGGCCGCCCCCAGTCCCCACCTCACTCTCCATCACCGCAACCGCAGCTTGGATTCGGCGTTGCAGCGGATACCGGAAGTGGACGTCACCCCCAGCCCGGAAGTGGAGAACGTGACCGGCGGCGGCGGCATTCTGGCCGCGTCCGAACCGGCCTCGTCGAAAACCGTCCGGAACAGCGACGAACTGGCGAGCCTCGGTTCGGACGATTCCGGCATTTTGTGCGGGTCTGACAGCGGTTCGAGCGATAGCCACGCGACGCGCGAATCCAGCGTCGATTACATGTCGAACGAAAGTCGGGAAAGTCTCGAGCCGGACGCAAAACCGGCAGTGTCCCTACGGACTAGTACCCCGGAATGCGGGGACGTGCCCAAAAGTTCCGGCATGCTGAGACTTTTGGAAAGCAAAGTGTTTGACGTGTCCATGGCGATGCATTATATTTTTAACAGTAAAGAACCCGGTGTCTTAAGTTACATTGTCAACAAAATGTTCTCATTTGAGGATCGGGATGTGGACTTTTATCTTCCGCAGCTTGTCTGCATGTACATACAAATGCACGATGTCGCAGAAGTGATACATCGATATTTAGTTCATAGGTAAGAGGTCTTCTAACTAAAATTTTAACTAGGGTTGGGACACGGTCTTATATAAGGGCCATTTTAAGCATGCGGACGGCACAAATCACAAAACTGGTTACATAGAAAAAAATTGTTGGTAATTTATTACATCATTTATGTATATTATTGGCATCAAAATATTTGAAAAAAAATTTTAAGTCCCCAATTGTTTTTAGCCAGCCATTTTATACATTTAATTCACGTATTTCGTTTTTATACTGAATGCCTTTAAAAACCTGTAAGCACCTGGGTTAAAGTATAAATATTAGATTTTATCATTGTTTGAAAAAACAATGGTTTTACTATAATTCTTTGTATGCAGACAGTAAAAAAACAGTTTAATGCCATTGTACACAAAGGATGTTTACTGGTACGAGTTTAATGTGAAAAATATGAACCTTGAAATGTTTTAAAATGTTTACCACCCTTATAGTTTTCTACTCATCAAACCCTTTGATTTGATACCCACATCAAGGTGGTTGTGAAGAAATAGGCAATCCATCTAACTTTATCTTACGGCGGCAGCCATATCGTGTGGTTTATTTCTATTTCTCTTACACATCTACATGACTTAGGGGCTACGCTCAATTTCCCAGGAAGCTCGTACCGCAGAGCCATAGCATAGATGTTTACACATAAAAATGACCAAAACGCTTCTCCATTGCATCACTTGTATGTTTAAAAAATTACTTGGTAAAGAACCAATTAAAACTATACTTATTATCAAAAAAATGTCAAAATACATTGAACCGTTTTCAGGCTATTAATTAAATAACTTTTTCTACTTCCACCTTTAAAACGCCCATTATCGTACATGTTTCCATGACACTAACTGACCTTTTAAATACACATTGAAAAGTTGTGGCTTTATGGCGTTTTAGTCACGGGATAAAGTTAGCAACAGGTTTTTAGTCACAGGCTGAAGTTTTAATTTAGTTGACGGTTATCAAATGTCATACAATCGTTAAAATAACGAAATGGCTCCCGTCCCGAGGCGGGACTTAACTTCGATCCCGACTAACGTCACACACTGTAAATCCGTTTTTATTCCCCGAGCGTTATAAAATTAATATTAAGCTGGATGGCTCAGATGGTAGGCGGTCTCTTGGCATGCGAGAGGTATACCGGGTTCGATACTACTAGAAGTTGTCGAACTTTTTTATTTTATAAATTTGTTGTTCCTTTTTTAAAAAGTGTTGGGTTGGGTTGGTTGATTTGTTTTAGTTTTATCGTAACAAATCTTAAAATTATGACGTCACTCGGGACTGAGTTTAAGTCCCGCCTCGGGACGGGAGCCACAGCGTTAAAATAAAATGCCTTTCTTAAAATAATACTAAATGTGAAAATTATTTTATTATTCGAATACTTACAAAAATACAAAAGTATTAAATAGTTTCTCAACGCTAATATTTTAAAAGTTTTATGAACATTGTACTGACCTTTTAATTTCGCCGGCAGTAAACTATAACTTAAATTCGGGCTCGGACTCCACTGTGAAGTGCTCATAAAACATTTTCTTTACTTTCACTGTGAAAAACTGTTAACTGGCAATGCATTTTTAAGGAATACCTTTTGATGTATTACCTTTATAATCTGTGTTTATACAAATAAAAATTTGACATTTGACGGTAAGACAGATTCCCCTATTGTTTTATAGATGGCTCTCTATAAAAATATTTGATTTAAATCATTTTAAGATAATAATTATTTGTCGTAGAAAAAGTATAGTATGCACCTCGTTTATAAACTTTTCTAGACACTCATTTTTGTGTCTAAAATGGCGTTTGTCTATTTTGCGTTCATAATGACTTCATTATAACACCGCTTTCGGTGATGTAATGAGATACTTTATCCCACCCAAAATTTTGATTTTATAGGTTGGCTATATTTTAAACACCATAATATTTTGCATATTGGTTATAATACTATTTTTCTAGTACTTACGAGACTTTTTGGCAATAAATTTTGTTTAACACCAGTAAATAAGTAAATTAAGGACGGCATGGCGAATCTATTTTGACATTAACTGTCAAACCAATGACTGTGATACCAACTATCTAAAGTTAAATTCGATCAAATTAAATTTAAGGTATAAAATTATTTTTTTTATAGAATTTTTGCAAAATAGATAAAATAGCATAAAGAACTCATGTCATAAGACCTTTTGTCGCACTCGTCCATTACAAAACTCGCTCCTTCGTCGCTCGTTTTAAAAATTGTCCGCGTGCGACAAAATTGCGTCTTATGACATTAGTTCTTTAATATACTATTATCAAACTTGATACATAATATACTATTAGACCATAAACCATTTCTAATTTAATATTTTCCTCTAATACGAGGATTTTGAAAGCGTTTATATTATTGTGGTAACATTCAAATTTCCATTGGCGGTAGATCAAACTGGCACATACCTAAATTAAATTCACCCATTTGGCTCATGATATTTGATTTTTGCTAAATATTTTAAATTAAAAACATAACATAGATCTAACAAATTTTAATTAAACGTAATATTTAGTTATTATTACGTTTTAATTTTGTTATGAAATGCGGTAAATTATATGTGTGCAGTTTTAACTCTTATAGGAAACATTTAACTGCTTATATTACACAAAAATTAATTACAATTACTTATGATTTTCTCAAAGATTTAAGATAGGCTTTTCTTTGCAAAAAATTACCTACCTATTTGGAAATCTATAACGTTTATATTAGGTAATATTTAACGTATTTGTAAATTATTGTTTGTTTAGGCATGTGCAAATATTTCGTTTGCATAGTGTGACCATTTTATACAGCAAATTAATTAATTGTATGGTAAAAATTATCTATGCAAGAACGTATTAAAATAAATTGTGAAAATTATTATTTAAATTATTACACACCTAGTAGGTATTTACCTACTTTCATTTTTAAGATGCATATTATTCTCACTAGGTATAATTCAGGTTTACCAATTTATACCTATTCAAACTTTTGTATTTAACACTAAAAATAGCTATTTATTGTATTACATGGCCCTAATGCTTAAATTTATATAAAAATTACATTTTTGTTTAGGTATTAAGATACTACTTGTCCTAAAACCGTGTACCTAATTTGCATTTGTGTAGCAAGATACCAAATTTGCTAGTTGGGTATGCAATATTTTAAAATTCCATTCATATTACTAATGAAATTCAGAAGGCGTTAATTAAGCTTGTCATACCAGAGACCTCAATTAACAAAGTGTTGAAATTTTAATTCAGTTTGTAGCTTTGCTAAAGCTGACTTTTTTTTTTACTGTCTGGACTGATGGATGGCGTAGAAGTGCCATTTGCTTGGATAACACGTCACACGTGATTTTAAAGGATTTAGGGAAAATGTATCGTAATATTTCCTGGCTTTGTATTGTTATTTAAAACTTATTAATACAACTTTCAGTCTAATTGGATACGGTTTTAGTTTTCTAAAGCATATTTTTATGCTTATATATAAATAAACAGGACTTGTTGTTTTGACTTCTGCATGATCAGTAAGGTCACATAGAATGCATTAATTAATTGTTGTTTATAAATTCAATATTTTTAAAATATTAGAATTTTGGCGACATACACATTTATTGATATTCTGTATATTTTTAGGTCCCAATAAACTTCTTTAGTTTTACTACGTCGCGACGCGCCGCGTAAACTACAAAAATAGGTCAACATGTTTAATTTGTAATGAATCCTTTAAGAAAATAGGTTTTTACCTAGAACATAAAAATAGGTTTTATTTAAAGCTAATCAAATATTTTTCAAAATGATTATTAATTAAAAATGAGGATATCTTGTTTCCGGTTAAAAGTTTACACTATTGTAAAGTACAGAATTTTTGTACAATATTTGATATCATATATTTTATAACTAAATTCTTATTAAACTTTTTAAGATACAGTCATAAAATTGGGTACACATGTATTAACATACTTCCGTCGATATGTGGCATCGACGGTTGATGAGTATTAGGGGATATGGGGAACAGATGCTAAATTTCTTGATATAAATGGGTTTGTCACCCCTCTCTAAATATAGATTTTTGATTAGTCACATTAATCTTTTCACGTAAGTTTGAATCACCCATACAGAAACACAACATTTTATTTGGCACGCTCCAATTATTATATTACTTATTTAATCTGAAACAATTTCTTAGTGAAAATGATAATTTCAAAAAAACAAACCATCATTTATTGTTGAATTATACGTTTCTACTTCCACCTATAAAACGCCCATTATTGTACATGTTCAATAACACTAAGTGATTTTTTAAATATACATACATTGACATTGTCATAGGCGTAGTTAGGAGGGGCTTGGGGGGCTAAGCACCCCCAACATTTTATGCATTTTTTTCTATATTATTATAAATAAATTTAGCCATTTTGCTTGCAAACAATACATAATCCAAATGTATAATATAATTTTGACATATTTTTGATTGATAAGGTTTATTTCTTACAAAAGAGGAGTGAAATGGTTGACAAGTGCCTCTGTAAGAAACCACTTTAAGAATTTTTGTAGCTTTTTATTGCTTTTTTAAGTCTGTATAAACATCACAAACAAGATAGACCAGACCTTGTTGTGTAGATTGTGAAAATATGGAGTTGTAAAGCACATAATTCTCAAGCATTAAAGACCAATTTTGCTTCTATTTAAAAAATACTTATAGAATAGAATAGTATATTGAACAAAATTCATCAAGAAATTTTGTTGAAGCTGTTGGTCTTTTAAATTGCACAACAACAATTTCCTTCATCACTCAGCTATTTGTATTGAGTGGTATTTTAAATGTCATAAACATTTTAAGCAAAAAATTACAAAGCAAACATGGAATATTGGCTGCATCTTCAGAAAAAAGATGCGATGATTTTTGTCTTTGGAAATATTGATAATAATGATAATCATAAAATCATATTTGGGTGTACTTGACAGACAGACAGACAATACATTTATTTACAATATTTACAAGTTGATACATAACTAATAGAACAATTCACATTACAGTGCTAATTAACAAAGCCGACATAATGACCACAAGCAGTCAGTCGTGCTTTAGCACACACTAATTAATATACAATATATAATCAGCGCCACAGCTGTACTTGAGCTGTACTAAACCTTATTCATTTTCATACCTTCATCAATAATAGTACTGAGAATTAATGTTTCCTTCTAGTCTAGATCGCTTCTTATCGTGATACTATTTATTGTGATTTAATATTTTTTTAAGTTGTTTTTTAATGCTTTTATTTCAATTCAAACTTCCAAGTTTAACATTTTAAATAAAATATATAAATAGGTACTATAATAGTTATAATACTTGATTTTTACTAAATAGATTTCTGAAAATAGTAATTTAATTTGTAGGTTGATTTACATTATCACATAATAATTCAAAAGATTTAGGTCCGGACTCCTGCACCCCCAGATTTAGGTGTCTAAATCCGCCTATGATTGACAAGCTATGGCTTTAGCGACGGGCTGAAGTTGGTTTTAAGTTAGTTGACAGTTGTCAAATGTAATGTTTTCCTTCCCAGGAATGACGAAGTTTAACGATTTTTGGTTTTAACAGGTTTTTAGTTTTTTTTTTCTAACTATTTGCCTCTGATTTTTTAATTACGCAACTTTTGTTTAATTTAACCGACATTGTAGCTCTTTAAATAAAGAAGATACACATACATAGAAGGATACTTGGTATATAATATCTACTCCTAGTAAGTTACCGCACGAAATTGGAGAAAAAGTGAGGTTAAAACCGTTAGACATAATATACTATTATTATATATAATAAATATATATATATATATATATAAAATATATAATAAAAACTACAACATCCTCATGAATAATAGACTACATTATTTCTCATTTTAAATTAAGACCGTTGAGTCTTTAGACTCAACGCGAAGAGGAAAAATATCAAAAATTAACTTTAATTTTTGCCATTAAAAACACGCTGTATATTGCTTAGGCTCTCCTAACACAAAACACATTAAAAATATACTCTACTTAAGACTACCCTAATAAATAATTTTACCTGCTGACTCACATGAGAAATCAGTCGTTAAGTTGTTCACAAAATATTTTGATTTTATTATAAACCTATAATTTGATTAATATGGTATATTTATAAGATTTAGTATATTTTTTAGATCAACTTTGATCGATTTTTTTTTTCTATTTTTATCAAAGTTTGTATCTACGCATTTTTGAAAAAAGAAATGTGTAGGGACTAGGGGTTTCAATCCCGAAAATCCCGGGATCTTAGTAATAAGTTACAAAGAATAAAATATACTTTTTTTAAGCGTATGACAATTTTTATATTATAATACTCATAAGAATATATAGAAATACTTCATTTTTGTACGCAGTCCAAAAGAAAAATTATTATACACCGCCGAAAATAATGCATAGCAACCCAGCTAGCATTTATGATTTCATATTGACGTCAGAATAAAATCAGACGTGAAAATCGTTCGTCACGTCTGTCGAGAATCTGACGTCAGTAGCGCATACGCGAATGTCAGCAATATGAAGTCAGACAGAAATCAGATGTGATTTTTGTTACTGCTGACGTTGGCTTTGAAATCATACTGATGTCAGAATGAAATCAGATGTGATTTTGTAAAGAGACCGGTAGAAACCGGTAGAAAGAAAACTTTAAAGAATAAGTAAAATCAGTCGAGATTTTTGGTCCCGCTGACGTTGGCTTTGAAATCATACTGTTGTCAGAATGAAATCATACTGTTGTCAGAAAAAAAATTCCAGTGAAGGAGGAAATCTTAAATTGCTATAAAAAAATTAAAATAAAATACCAAAATTTTTTGATTAAAAATTTAGGTATTTACAAAAAAAAAGATTTCTTAAATCTGGCGCAATTTACCTGGCGCCATTCCTCTATGGTTGAGTTAGAACTTAAAATTATACTGAAAATCATATGTGATCTCATACTGACCTCAGTATGAAATCAGGCGTGCTTTGGAACTTAGAATCATATTGAAAATCATACGTGATCTCATACAGACCCCAGTATGAGAACAAACATGATTTTGAACTAATATTCGCGCCCGATCGAAACTCACGTGGGTATGCATACCCATAACCATGGTTATGGGTATGCATGGTTGTTTATTTGTATTTGTCCCATTGTGTATAGTCCTTCGTAGGGGACTTTAAGCCGGAAGTCCGTTCCTACCCCTTACCCGCACAAGCTATAGCTTGGGGTATTAACGGACCGCTGGCCTAAAGTCCCCTCGACGATACACAATGGGACAAGCACAAATAAACAACTATACCCTATAGATTACATTACATTACATCTAAACGAGAACTATATATAAGCTATAGCTTATAAGCTTAAATAAAATTAGCTTGTAAGCTTGGAACTTATGGAATAGGTACCCTTAACTGAAAATCATGCCTGATCTCATACCCTCCCCAGTATGAAATCAGGCATGATTTGGAACTTAGAATTTATATTGAAAATCATGCGTGATCTTATACCGACTTCAGTATTAAATCATACATGATTTTGAATGACTGAAAATCACATCTGACCTTATACTGACTTCAGTGTGAAATCACAGAGGGAAAACAAAATCACAGATGCTATCTGGGAAAGCATAAAATCAGCAAAAAAAACTGTAAAATTACAGGTCACTGTAGAATAAATTCATGTACATAACCTATAATATAACATATTTCAAACGTGAAACCTGAAAAAATTTCACAAACTTGATAATTTCAATGTAAGTTACAGCCCCAATTGGAACTCACCAAGGCCGATTGATAAAATAAATGGAATTATTTGTTAATGGGGGTAGAAGTGGGGATAATGTGCCTACGAATTCTTAAAAACCTTTCCTCCAACTAGTATAAAGTCCGAAAGATATCGTTCGTTGGATCGTTGGTTAATAATAATAATTTGTTTGTTCCTTTATTTTAAATTGGTTTTAACGATATATATTTTTTCGGGACTGATCCCGGGGTCCCGGGATTAGTTACCATTGGTCCCGAAAGTCCCAGGATTAGAAAAAGGGCTCGGGATTGACACCCCTAGTAGGTACCTACGTTAAATGTACTTTTTATAAATTAGTTTAAAATTTGCCTTCTTATTTGTTCCATATAATTTAAAAGACTAAGAAAAAAGTTTTTGTGGCGTTTTTGTATTAATTTAAATTAAATCGTATACATAACTAGAAGAATGACCATTAATTAACGCTAAGTACCGCTGAAATTTTAATATGCCAGTTGCAAATATTTGTAATTTTCAGGCAACTGCCTTTATTCATAATAATCTTAATAAAAAAACATTATAGTTTAACTTTTACTGTAAGAAATAACATACATATGTACATGTTTATGATACTCGTAACAATAATTTGTTGAATTTTGTTCAAGAAAAATGTAATTTTAAAAGTATATAAAAGTATATCATACTTTTATTTAATATTATTATTATAAAATTGTTGAATTTTAAAAATCCATTTTCTTGAAGTTACTTTGTTTAACCAAAGTACTTTTTTGTAATAAATTGATTAAAAAAAACACATTTTAAACCAAATCAGACAAAATTTTAAACAGAAAAGAGTTGTGGGCCGAAATAGTACCCATCCTAATTATATTATATTATAATTGTACGCTTATGATCATTTTTTTTGTCAAGCAATAGTATCTCATTAAGGAACTTTTTTCATAATTTTCTTCATGTAAATAAGAAATACCGTGTTCATCCAACTTAATTTTGTGTGTGTCTCTATTTTAAAAAAAAAACGCCTTTTTATAAATCAAGAATAATTAAATAACTATAGGTAGTATTCTATGAATTTATGACACTAATATTATTGTTTTAGATGCCGGAGGTCGATAGATTTCTCGTTAAAGTGCGCGTGGCTTTTGGAGGCTTACAGCTCCGACGCCTCGTTACCTTCCAAAAAGAAACCTCACGGAATCAAACTGAGAAACTTGATTCTCTCTGACGAGCTGCGTCCCAACCTGAAGAAACCCTCCATCTGCACGAGCGAACGGCCGCCACCGGCGATGCTCAGCGCTGCGCAACACCACTTGAAAAAGTCGCATCAGCGATCGCAGAGCGACGCTTCCGCCCTGTTGCCGGGTCTGAAGAAGAGCAGCACGTCCACGAAGCTGAGTCTGGGCGATTTGAGCTCGGGCAAGGCGTTCGACAACGGTTGTCAATGTTTTGAGAGCTGCCAGAGCGTGGTTAACGAACTGAGAGGCCAAAAGACTGAATGCGCCTGCTCGGTAAGATATATTTATGTTTATGGATATTGAAAAGTACTCCAATTTGCCTATAATTTATATTGAACAAAATGATATTGTGGTAAATAAGTATTTTTCTACTTTCATACTTTAATTCCTTTATTCCTTTGTACTATAACGACATCCTTTATGATATACATTTTTCATTATAATACTGATAGAGATTTTAACCAAAAGAAATGAAATACACGGTAGTGTTAAGTTAACACTGTTAACCAATAGAAATGCGGTAATCGGCAATATTCTGTGAATATCAAACATTGCGTTGGACATCCAGGGTATGGTTTAAACCGGCCTGGTTAAAACCCTAACTTTTAGTTTAAGCCGGCCAAAACTGAAATTAATAAATGATCAATGATTTTATTGTCAAAATTTTATAAAAGATAAAAAACAATAATTTGTTACAAATACAATTCTCTGGCTTGGTCGAAGAAGGGCCTAAGTGCAAAAACATAGTTCTTAGTTAATTCCAATTAAAACTTAATTTTTCAAACGATTGTGATTTAATTAATTTTTGTGGTAAAAGGTTGAAACTTGGAATATGTGTTGGATAAAATTTATTTTTTTCATTGCAAAAAAGTTCTTTGTGGAAGTTTATAAAATTAAAACGTTTTTGGCACATAGGCCCATAGTGTAATTATTTGATGACAAATAGGTCCAAACTTTAGGGCATTTTAATTGCACATTGGCCTCAAATTATGTTACTTTGACCCTTACTTAAAATTTAGTTGCACTAGAGCCCTTTTTCAACATTATCATCTTTGTTTAAAAAGTAAATAAGAATTACATTAAAAATGTTATTAATAATATATTATGTATCAAGTTATATAAACGCCATTTTAGTTACGAGTTTAATTAAGCACGAGCGAAGCTTGCGAGCGAAGCTTGCGAGCGAGTGTTTAATAAAAACGAGTGTCTAGAGAAGTTTATAAACGAGTTGCATACTATACTTTATCTACGACGAACACAAAACAGAATTTAAAGCCAATTTTATTTGTTAAAATTTTGACATCTGTCAACTGTCATCCGAATTTAACCTCACTTTTTCCCAATTTATAATAAAGCTAACTTCAGCCCGTGACGTAAAATGTCGAAAAGCCACTGTTGTTAACTTCAGCCCGTCAATAAAACGCCATAAAGTGACAGCTCGTCAATGTCAAACCTAAATTTGACAACTGAATCACAATCAGGTCAAAATTATGAAGAAAACATATCACGAACGTAAATACCTATCTGTTCAGGTTTAGTTTTCGAAAATTTTTACCAAAACGTCATTTTGAAAAAGTGCGCACCAGTCAATGTGTCGCGACCAAAAATTTCGTCCTTTTTCAAAACGACATAACTTTTTTGTTTCTTGAACGATTTTATTTTGGTTTGTGATGTTTGCTAGCCCCATTCTCTGGAAATTCATGCTATAGATATGAAGCTCACGGTTCTTCAAGTAAATTTCCTACAGGGTGATATGTAAAACGGTGAAAAATTTCAATAACTTCATCCAAGCCCCGTTTGTAAAAAAAGTATTCTTTTCTCGTTTTTACTTTGAAATAATGAAGTATTATGTCTTACCTTGAAACGTTTGCCAAATTTTTCGAATTGGAATCTAAGCAACGAAAATATAATTTTTTTTTCAAAAGGGTACATTTGATGCTTTTTTGTAGGCAATACACTCAGCCTTTTTAAGATAAAAAAGATAAGATGGTAAAAGATTGTTCCTTGAATAATTCTGAACAAGTGACAAGCAACAAACTTCCATTAATTTCAGAGGAACCTAAGCAAAGACCACTTTTTCAATATGACATTTTGGAGAAAATTTGCGAAAACTAAACCTGAACCGATATTTACGTTCGTGACATGTTTGCTTTATAATTTTGACCTCCTGATGTGATTATTTGTCAAATTTAAGTTTTAGATAAAACCAAAATCACCAAGAATCAAAATTCGAAAACAATTCTCGGCTGTTAAATGTCTCAATGTCCATTTGGGGATTTTTTCAATATGACATTTTGGAGAAAATTTGCGAAAACTAAACCTGAACCGATATTTACGTTCGTGACATGTTTGCTTTATAATTTTGACCTCCTGATGTGATTATTTGTCAAATTTAAGTTTTAGATAAAACCAAAATCACCAAGAATCAAAATTCGAAAACAATTCTCGGCTGTTAAATGTCTCAATGTCCATTTGGGGATTCATTTTGAGTATGAGTATGAGTATGGGAACGTATGGCAGGCCCCAGATATATTGTCATCCACTGATCTCCCGGGGTTATTTTACCCCCTTTCCGTTCTCCTGCGTATCCCGCCAAATCACAGCATTACCTGTGTTTGTTGGATCCAAAGTTTTTACGCCGGCTCACACTGGTCCGAATCGACTTATTCTCTGGCCAAAACTCGAAAAGTGAATGTAATAATGTGAAAATTTGTATTTTAGGGTTATTGGGGTCGCTGATTACGAAATTGATATCAAAATTATTAAATTCAAAATGGCGAACTAAAAATGGCGGACTTTTTTGACAAATAATTGGTTAATCGTCATGAACATGTTAATTTTTAGGTTTCTGGGGTCGCTTATCACAAATTTGATATCAAAATTATTAAATTCAAAATGGCGCACCAAAAATGGCGGACTTTTTTGAAAAATAATTAGTTAATTGTCCTGAAAATGTTAATTTTTAGGTTTTTGGGGTCGCTTATCACGAATTTATTATCAAAATTATTAAATTTAAAATGGCGGGCCAAAATGGCGGATTTTTTAAAAATAATTAATCGTCCTGAAAATGTTACTTTTCAGGTTTGTGGGATCGTTAATCATGAATTTAAAATCAAAATTAGTAAATTTAAAATGCTGGACCAAAAATGGCGGATTTAAAAAAAATTGTTAATCGTCCTAAAATTTTTAATTTTTGCATTCGCTAATCATGAATTTGATATCAAAATTATTTAATACAAACCAATGTACCAAAAATGGCGGATTTTTTTTTAATTATTAATTTATTGTGAGTATTAGGTTCGGCCTAATTCGGTTGTAAGGTTACTAATTTAGTATTATTGTAATAATTGTCAAATGGGAAATGAAAAAATAAAATACACTTGCGTACAAAATTTCAATGTTTATTAAATTAAAATTATACTATTACATTAAAAGTCATAGTCATCAATGTCTATTTCTTCAGCTGCACTTTCTTTAATAGGTTCAAGGAGCTCAATGACAGTAGGATGCAATGATTCATTACTATTCACCTTCCGAGGTTACAAGGAGCCGACAAAAAAGTCCGACATTGACTTTTCTCGAGAAGATTTTCTTGAAAAATTTTTGCGGTACTGACGAATATCTTTGCATAAATAATTTTTTCTGTATATTTGTTATCCTATTATAAAATCTTAAAAAATATATTTACTAAGCATCACTGCGTTTAACCGCGACTACTGTCTCAAATCCGGGCACGAAAGTGTATATTATTGTTTTATTAATTTTCGCGCAAGTGGCTGCAGCCAATTTTTTAAGAACCTTATAATAGACACTTCAATGAACGTTTCCCCGTAAAAAACGTCTTCCGCAAATGCCCACATTTTAACTTATTCCAAGTAAAAAAAAAAAACAAAAAATTTAAAATCAGGCCATTATGTTAGTATAAATTTTAACAACAAATAATTTTTTTTTCAAAAATGTAATTTTATAAAATTATTGTACATACCTTCAGAAACATTTTCCATTTTGAACTGTTAAAATTAGCGAAATAATAGCACTTTTGTTGCACAATCAAAATCAACACAATAACTGTTTCCAAGCAATGGTAAATTCTCATATAACTTGTTTCGATGCTGTATCCACTTATTTTTGTGAAAACTAATTCTCGCTCAAGGTTTTTTTTAGAGTAATGAGCATGTAGCATTTTAAGGTAATGGGAACTTAAATTATGACAACCCTAATCTATTAATTTTTTCCTAAAATGCAGGCTTTATGTTGCAAATGTCACATAAGTTACCGGTCACCAACTGCAATATCCTAACATTGATGAATATTTTAACAAAATAGCTGTTGAAACAACTAATGTTAGTGCTTGATTAACTAAAAATAGACTTAAGATTGACGAAAAATTATTTTATCCGAAATCGGCAGTAAAGTAGAACTTTACTGCCGATTTATTTTAATTTACGATTGTTGACTACTTTACTGCCGATTTCGGATAAAATAATTTTTTGTCAATCTTAAGTCTATTTTTAGTTAATCAAGCACTAACATTAGTTGTTTGAACGGCCATTTTGTTGAAATATTTATCGATGTTAGGATATTGCAGTTGGTGACCGGTAACTTATGTGACATTTGCAACATAAAGCCTGCATTTTAGGAAAAAATGAATAGATTAGGGTTGTCATAATTTAAGTTCCCATTACCTTGAAATGCTACATGCTTATTACACTAAAAAAAAACCTTGAGCGAGAATTAGTTTTCACAAAAATAAGTGGATACAGCATCGGAACAAGTTATATGAGAATTGACCCAATTGCAAAAAAGGGTTAAATAAAACTGCCCTAGGGATCAGGTAGGGCGATTTTATACCTAAACTCTTTGGTTTTTAAATACTTCAAACATTTCTCTACCTGTATGAATTAAAATAATGTCATAATTAATAACTTTATTTTTGGGGTTTTGGCCAAGGTCAAGCACGATTCGGACCAGTGTGCGGCTGGTAGATCCACCCTAGGAGTTCGTGGATGACAGTGTCAAAGGTTAAGGCCGCTCCCGGGATTTTTGTCAGCCGGGTCGGGCCATACGTCCAGTTTAGGAAGGGTTTTTGGAGGACATTGAACTGACCCAAAACTAAGTACAATCCGGAATCCTCCTGAACCTAGGCCTTAGTAGTAACCCCATTCAATTGGTATTCGTGAATGGGGGGTGGGTATGTTAGTTATTTGCTTACTCCTATCTTTGTTGGTTTACTTCCGGTTCGTCAGTTTCTGTGTCCGTCTCCGGGTCGGCATGTGCCCAGTATTTTAGTTGTGCCACCCTGACACGTTTGGTGATTGTTTTTCCTTATAGGAGGACTCTCGACGATATCTTGTCAGTACGCCCCTGTTCGTGATGTATTTCGCTTGAGACGTTAAATATGTCCGATGCTGCTATTATTGTTTCCAAACCCAGCCAGAAGCCGTTTTGTGCGTGGTCCTTTAGGCAGGACCGGATTTACAAATTTGCCGCCCATGGACCCAACGCCTCATTACCCCGAATAGCGATTGACTCAGCGAATAAGCTAGAGTCGCGCCCCACTCGCCTCGTGTACATCGACTGCCGCCCTTCTACGCAGTGACGCACTACGCATAATAATGTGTAATCTGATATAAAATTATCTAATGTATTAAAAAACTTCTCTTCCAACTTTTTATAGTAGTGTATAAATCTGAGTGAAATCAAAAATTCTGCATAAAACGCTCTTGATTTTTTTGCAAAATTTTAACTGGCCTTCAAACTTTGCCGCCCCTAAAAATTTGCCGCCCTGGACCCGGGCCCATGTGGCCCATGCCTAAATCCGGCCCTGATATAAAATTATCTAATGTATTAAAAAACTTCTCTTCCAACTTTTTATAGTTAGTGTATAAATCTGAGTGAAAACAAATTCTGCATAAAACGCTCTTGATTTTTTAGCAAAATTTTAACTGGCCTTCAAAATTTGCCGCCCTGGGCCCGGGCCCATGTGGCCCATGCCCAAATCCGGCCCTACCTTTAGGTACGCCTCTGTTTTACGTTCCCAGTCTTTAATGTGCGCGTAGCGGTGGGGTTGGTCAAGGGTCGCATCTTGTAAGTATGGGCTGTATGTCTCAATGTGTGTTCGTAAGTGGTTATTTAGTCTTTGTCTTAATGCGTATGTACTTGTTGACCCAGTCAGGCTATTATCTAGTTGATGAGCCAAGCTGGCCACTAAGCAATTTCCGTCGGATGGAATTTTAATTATTCCCACCGAATGATCAATCGTGTTTACTATTTCCATGTTTGTTATGGTTTGTGTTTATTTATTATTTATGGTTTGGCGTTTATTTATGGTATTAGTCGAGTGTTTATTTGGAGGATGGAGAGCTAATGTCTTATCTGCCTTTTCTATTTTGTTTATGTAATGATTTGTGTGTTGTCTGTCTCAATAGGAATGTTTATTTTCTGGTGCCAGCTGAAATTTACTTTTCGGTATATAATACGTTTTACTTTAGATTTTTTGGAATAAAATGGTTTTTTTTGTTAATAGGACATGCAGTTAGAAAAATTAATTAGCTTGTTTATTAGGCTATAATCCTGATGCTAGGTCTTTCACGGTCTGTCCGTTGTTTCTGGATCTCCCTGCAGGTTATTGACAGGCTTTGGTTGTGACTATCCCTGCTGACCAGTTGGGCCGGTTGGCCTTAATTACTTGTTCAGTTGCACTTTTTTACGGCTTTAACAGGGGATCTCCCGCTCTTTTCACACTTGTTGAACTTTTTTTTTTGCACTTATCACACTTTCCGCACTTGATTGTTTATTTATTTATATATTTATTTATTTATTACCGATTACCGGTATTTCCGAATACTTAGGTTCGTTTTTGGAACTTTATTACGTTTCTCTAGTATACGCTGCTAGGAGAGGAATCTTTAACTACTTGACGCGTCTATCCACTTCGAGTGTCAAGCCCGAAACGCCGCCATTTGGGGATTCATTTTTTGGGAGAAATTACTGCAATTTGTTTGAGTGGTTAGAATAATGTTACATAAATTACATTTATATTGTGCACTAGTGATAACTTATTACCTAATTGGTAATAAAGTTAAATACAAAATTTGTTTGTTCATTTTTGAAAATTTTATGCGAAGATATCATAATAAAAACTACAACATTTAACAGAAAAATGTAACAAACAATAACAATAATAACTTTCAATATTTCGTTGGCCCTCCCCTAACCCGTAATAATTCGTTAACCCTCCTGGGCATTCCCTAGACCAAGTTCCTTAGAAATTCCTGGGGTATTCTTCCTGAATCGAATTTACCAATTCATCCAAATTTTCCATGCGTCCCTTCTTCTCTTTCATCTTCAGTTTCATCCTGCTCCACACATGCTCAATAGGATTCATATCCGGAGACAAAGGTGGCCAATTCATTCTCTTAATATCACGGTCCCTTAAATACTCATTTACGATATTAGCGCGATGCGGACGGACATTGTCGTCCACCAACACCAAATTATTGACATTTAATTTTCATCATTTGATCCTTGATTTGATCATTCAGTGACATGATAATAACGTACTAAAGATGCAAAATACAGTAAAAAAAGTAGCCCCGGGCGGCACTTCTTGGGGCGGCAAAAATCGTGAGAGAAAATGCGAAAAAAACTGGAAGACAGAATTTAAAAATAAAAAAAATATTTGATAATTAAATATTCTCTTTCGAAATAATATAATTCAAATTCCAATAGATTTGAGATTTATACAATTACTCCCAAAATATTCCAAATCAAATAAAGCTAGCAAAAAATATAAACAAGACCGGTATTGTACCTTTGATGAGTAATCAGTCTACCGCCGACATAAGTTACCAATAAAGGTTTTCGAGAAAAGCTGCCGGCCCACTGCAATTCTGGATATGCGTTCGCACATCGCGAGCATTAATAAACTGGAAAATTGTACAGCCGGCCGCGACGTCGTGTGTTTACTTTTTTTGCTAGTCTAGTTGAAACCACTGAACTATACTATAGTTCAGTGGTTGAAACTGTTAAATGAAAATAAACCCCATATATAAATTATGTTAAAGCACATTTTATTTGTTGTTTTTCTTTACCTAGGTCTAAGAATTTTTGTTTGTTTTTAATTCTTAAAATATTACAATTTAATGTTATATATATATGTTATATATATAATTATATATTTTTAATTTTGCGTACGGTCCTCAAAACTGACTCCTAACCTAACCTCTCTTCCCCCCCCCAAAAAAAAAACATGAGGGCGACAGCCACTGCTGCCCCGGGCGGCACTTTTTCTAGTTACGCCGCTGTTCAGGTTTAGTTTTCGAAAATTTTTACCAAAACGTCATTTTGAAAAAGTGGTCTTGGCTTAGGTTCCTCTGAAAATAATGGAAGTTTGTTGCTTGTCGCTTGTTCAGAATTATTGAAGGAACAATCTTTCACCATCTTATCTTTTTGTTCTTAAAAAGGCCGATTGTATTTCTTACAAAAAAGCATTAAATGTACTCCATTGAAAAAAAAATCATATTTTTGTTGCTAAGATTCCAATTCGAAAAATTTGAAAAACGTTTCAAGGTAAGACATAATACTTCATTATTTCAAAGTAAAAACGAGAACAAAATATTTATTTTACAAACGGGGCTTGGATGAAGTTATTGAAAGTTTTACATAACACCCTGTAGTAAATTTACTTGAAGAACCGTGAGCTTTATATCTATACCATGAATTGCCAGAGAGTGGGGCTAGCAGACATCACAAACCAAAATAAAATCGTTCAAGAAACAAAAAAGTTATGTCGTTTTGAAAAAGGACGAAATTTTTGGCCGCGATACATTGAGTGGTGCGCAGTTTAGTTCAGAATTAACACCGCGAAATCACCTATTAAAAAAATTTGCCGGTTTAATATCAAAAAGCCGTTTTTTTTCAACCCTGTCGACATCTGACGGATCTAATATTTTTATACCAACAATGACAATATCGTTTGTGTCGTCGTCAGGCGTGTCAGCAATGTATTTTAATTATTATTCTTACAAATTTTATTGCAGCAAAATTAGTATACATCAAAATGCAAATAATTCATTCAATCTAATGAAAAACAATGCTCGCAAGCTTCTTAATAACTTCTTATGACCTTAGAAACTTGGAAAACATCCAGTATCGTGATCCTAATCGTCTGACGTGTCAATTTATTGTAATTATTAAACTCTAAATTTATATTGCAGCGAGTTTATTAACATAATTATATATCACAATTAGGAGTGTCAATCCCGGGATCCCGTAAAAAATCCCATCCCGAAAATCCCGGGATCAAAAGTCATAATCCCGGAATCTTAGTAATACGTTACAAAGAATGACATATATATTTTTTTAAGCGTATGACAATTTTTATATTATAATACTCATAAGAATATATAGAAATACTTCATTTTTGTACGCAGTCCAAAAGTCAAATTATTATACATCGCCGTAAAATAATGAAAATACATTCTATCTATCGCGTTTAGCATAAAATCAGCAAAAAAGTGTAAAATTACAGGTCACTCTAGAATAAATTCATGTACATAACCTATAATATAACATATTTCAAACGTCAAACCTAAAAAATTTCACAAACTCGATAATTTCAATGTAAGTTACAGCCCCAATTGGAACTCACCAAGGCCCGATTGATAAAAGAAATGGAATTATTTGTTAATGGGGGTAAAAGTGGGTACAATGTGCCAACGAATTCTTGAAAACCATTCCTTCAACTAGTGTAAAGTCCGAAAGATATTGTTCGTTGGTTTGTTCCTTTATTTTAAATTGGTTTTAAAATTAACGATATATATATATTTTCGAGACTGATCCCGGGATCCCGGGATTATAGTTACCTTTGGTCCCGGGATTGAAAAAATCACAATGCAATTATTTTATTCAATTCTGAGAAAACGGCACAATACAAAAAGGTACAATACTTTTCAGAATCAAACTTAAATTTCCACTTTATTATTATGGTTGTAGAAAAATAGTGTATGCAACTCCAATTTAATGGGTTCTCATGTTTATGTCTTAATAGCGATTATTAAATGGTTGTTGCACATTATACTATATAGTATATTATAAAATTGAAAAAAAAATCCAAATCGATTATTAAATATGTTATTTATAATTAAAAATCTGATATTTTTAATTTTTAACTAAATTTTCAGGGCAAGCAGAGGTGTTTAGAATTAACTATTTTAATTATTTATAGAATTAATTATTTTTGAATAACTTGTTCAAATATATACCCTAATATTTGTTTCCTTTATTAAAATTTGGATTCAATTAAAAATATATTTTAACGAGTTTGTCATTTAAAACATTGTGTTTAATCCGTCTGTCACAATATTGTTAATGTTAATGGTAATGTTAATGTTACTAACCACACATAGAAAAATGGGTGTATACGTTCACAATTATGGTAATGGTGTTGGTGATGTTAATGGTTGTGGTTAACGATCCAAAAAATATCTGCATTTCACCATTAACATCTCCTGTACCATCTACCAATGGGAGCAATAAGCGCACACATGCTCCAATCGCACAAAAGTGAATGTTTGTAGGTTAGTTTGGCTTTGTTTCTTTTATGGATGCTTTGTTTATTGTTGTTTTCAAAAAGTTTGTTATAAATATTATTAAAATGATTGATGTGCCCATGGAGCCTACACAAGGAGTCCGAACTGCATGTAAACAAGAATCTTCCTAAAGAAAGTAGGCGCTGGTGTCCCGTTTATTCTGAAACAATTGACTAATTTGTACCGAAACGCTACCAAAAGAGCAGGTGGTGAAAAAAAAAGACTTAATTTGTGCAATTTAGAGGGCAGGTTTTGTAAATTTTCCCTATTAAGTTCGGGCTCCTTGTGTAGGCTCCATGGATGTGCCACTATTATTAGAACAATAATGACATTTCAGGTTAACATTTTCAAAACATTTCACAATGCATCGTTGGCAATCCTTGTTTCACTGCCCACTAAATTTAAAATATAACTTTTGCATTAACATACCACCTACATTATTGTAAACACAATTTACATGACCATTAGCATAACCTTTAACATTAACACTATTGTGACAGACGCATAAATTGTGTTAACAATTTTTTATTAAAATTTGTATTAAATTTTTTTATTTAAATTTATCTTAAATTTTTTCAAAGAAAAGGCCAAATAATATCTTTTATTTGGAAAATAATTCTGTTACAACAAATTGAAAAAATTTAGATAAGAATTTTAATTTATTCCAACTTAAAAATTAAACTCAAATTTATAGGGATTATTATTTGTTTCAGGCCCCAAGACTGAGACCAGAACTGGAATTCATGCAGGCGCTTATCCTCATAGGAAAATTATTAAGTTCCATACCGACTAAAGAAGCAAAAACTACTAGACTAGTCGCAGAACTGACCACTTTAAACCTTAATTTACCAGCAAGAGTTTGGTTGCCATTAAACAGTGACAGCCCACATCTGATAGTCAGAATACCGCCCCAAGTTGCTGCTGTGCTTAATTCTAAAGACAAGGTACTTAATAGTTTTGTTATTTTAATATTTAACGTCATTTCTGTGGGTAAAAGGCATAAGGGGATAAGTCAAAAAAAGCAATTTTTCAATAGAGCCTTTAACGTGTTCGCATTAATTCAGGAAATATATTTATGTTTTGCGGGTATAGCCTTTTGTTAATATATTCCATGTGCTAAAAAAAGGGTATATCCGCTAACCATAAATATGTTTCCTGAATTAATGCCAATACGTTTAAGGCTCTACTAAAAAATGCTTTTTTTGACTTATCCCCTTATGCCTTTTACCCACAGATTTAAAAAAAAAATAATTTGTAACAAATTTTTATTTTACCAATATATATAGAAAAGCCTTCTAGTTTGGACATTATTTTCGTCGACATTTATTTTTTGTTAATTTTAAAGATCCAAGAAATTTGTGTTTAAAATAAAAAAGTGTATTAGCCGATTATTCCCGTATATATACACGATTCATCCTACAAATAAATATATTACATTTATTTACATTATTGTGACTGTCTATGGTCCATTTCTTACAAAATACAATGCTTTCCGAATCCAAAAGTTGCAAAATTGCTGCCTTCGATTAATATTTGGCATAAGGAAGTATGATAGAATTATTTACACCCTAATAAATAACAAGTTGTTAAATATGGAAAACAGGCGCAAAATGCATTTAATTTGTTTCTTTCAAAACCTTCTTAAAACTAGGGCACCAGGCTACTTACATCAAAAAGTTTCATACCTTACTGATATTCATAATATAAATATTAGATTTAAAAAAGTCATAACAGTACCGATTCATCGTACTGAATTATATAAAAGGTGTTTTTCTTATATCCTTCCTTGCTACGTTAATGGCTTGCCATTTAATTTACGGTGTAATATGTTGAAATGGTCACAGCGCTTGTTTAAAACCAAAGTTTTTGATATTCTATTTATGGAGCAGCAATGACACTCTAAATATTTATTTAATGTCTATTTGGGTTTATTTTTAAGTTATTGTAAACTTGGTATTTCTACTTAGCATAATTGTTTTTTTTTTGTTATATATAGCTATTATTTTAATAATATTGTAGCCAGTATAGCTGTCATTTTTTGGTTGAATGTAAGAATAAATTGTTACATTTTTAATATTTAAATTCAAATTCCGCCATTTGGAATAGTGTATTTCCTTATTTTAATAAAGACGTTTATTATTATTATTATTATTATTATACATGTACTAAACTTTTACTAAAGTATGAGTATGAGTATAAGAGACGTATAACCAGCCCCATTGCCTCATCACCCCTGGGGTGCGATTCTCGAGTTGAGAGAACGCTATTCTCATGAGAAGTGGGCTTGTTTCACTTAAGTTTTGACAGGCTGCATTCTTAAAATCATGCAATAGTTTGGTTTTCCTAAAGCAGAAAAGAGTTTCCGAGAGAAGGACGCACTAACTTATCTTAAATTCAATAATGCAGCCTGTCAAAACTTCAGAGAAATGCCCACTTCTCCTATGAGAAGCGTTCTCTTAACTCGAGAATCGCCACCCAGGCCTATGTTTACTTCGCCGATTTTTGTTCGCCCCCAGCAACTGCACGGCTTCACCCGTGTTTACTGGGTGCGAATGTCCATTGCGTTTCGTACTGTCCCCTATTTGGGACTCGAGAGCGACATGCGAATAGTTTTAATAGCCATTATCGGGTTCGCCGAGCCGATGCTATACGCCCAGTAGGGTATAGAGGAGGAGGGACGGGAGGTTGTTTTTGGGACAATTACGCCGACTTAAAATACGACGCGGAATCCCCCTAGACCAGTCGATTAGTATTACTCCAAACATTTGGGATTACTATTTGGAGTTGGGGAGTTGTTATTTCGCTGCAGGGGTGTAGTTTCCTAGTCGAGGTCTTCGTCTTGTTCGTTATTGTCATTGTTCCTGCACTTGGTAAAGTGTGTCAGTTGTTTTTTTTATTTTATTTTTATTGTTGCTTATTTGGTCCCAACTGGTTTTGTTAATTTGTGAGAAGTGCATGTTTTGTGCTAACGTGTCATGAAATGTGAAGCATGTAGTCGTTAAGGTTTCTAAAGAAAGTGTAGCTTTTCGCTATGTCTTGTTCGCGTATGGCCAGCAGTGTTGCTGTTTTTGCCTCGCGTTTTGCCTGGGCAGTTTTTGTGCTTGGTTTGTTTTAGTGGTTCCTGATAGCTTTTTGTAGCTTACTTGCGCTTTTTTTATGTCGGTTTTGGTAGCGTGCGGTTGGCTGTTATTATAAAACAGTCTTTTATATACGTCCATAACTCTGGTCGGGGTTACTATTTAGTAAGATGTTAGTTACCGCAGTCTTAAAGTTTAAATTGTCTTTGGGGTCATTTAAGCGTTCTGTGTACCATTTAACGGCTTGTCTGTAGTGGCTTGCTTGTCGGTGGCGGCTTGAGCAGGTAGTTGTTTTATTACACAGTATAGTAATTTATGATATGTCTTTAGGTCAAGTGGCCACGTGGCATAACAATTTTTGAAGAAAAGTCAGATGTATGGTTAGGACTGTTTTGGAGATTGAGAATGTGTTATGAATTCGTAAATTAAACATTTGTGCCAGGTTAATGAGATCCTGGCCGTTTTCGTTACTATTGTTGTGTCTGTGGGGGGTATTTTTTTTACTTTTAGAGTAAAATCTAATGTGTTTACAAAATCCATGGGGTTTGATTAGAGTGCTTTTTTATACTTTGTTTATGTTTTCTTAATTTATGAGTGTTATTTATGTTCTAAGTGTCAAATGTTTATTTGGTCTCGATTTTGTTGGACTTGGACTTGGTCCGTTTTTTTTGTTTTTTTTTCAGGTTTTTTTTCATTGTTTTTTTTCAAATGGTTTTTTTTCACATTTTAGGTTTTTTTCAAGATTAGTCCCATTTGCCTAATTTTTAAGGTTTCATGGACTAAAATTAGCCACTAAATGACAATTAGTAAATGTAAATACAGTCTCGCGGTATGCACGCGCCACCACCACCGAATTGACCAATAAGGGCCGTGCTTGTTTTGATTTGGTCCTAAAAAAGTAACTACATATAATATTTTTGATTCAGCGCTTGATTTTTCAAAAAGCTACCAAAAGCACTTTTTTCATGATTTTTCAAATTCATGTAGAGTATGGGCCAGAAAGCCAAAAAAAATCGATTTTTTTATTACTGTATTTTTTAGGATTGAGGGTTGCAAATTTTTCATCTAACAATCTCAAAACTAGAAACTTCAAGCTTTAAATTGCTTCTTTTAACGGCTCCAATACGACCATTTTTAACAAAGATACAGCTATCCGAAGAATCGCAAAACAATTTTATCCTTTAATTTTTTGTATTGGTGTAGAAGTTTTACATTGCTACTGGTTTCTAAGGTGGAAACTACCAAATAATAAGAAATCAGATTTTTTAGTCTCGGTCAAAATTTTCAATAATGAAAAATGTAATATATTCTACAGTTTACTTTATTATTAATATACATTTTATTAAAAATTTCATTTTGAAAAAAAACAAAAAAAACCGTTTTTTTTCTAGGTTTTTATTCATGTTTTTTTTCACATCTGAAAAAAAACCGTTTTTTTACATCTCTAGCTTTATTGTCCTGATCAGTTTTGGTGTATGGCCGCGATAGGCTGATTGGGAAGATTGTTTTTTTGGTTAGTATTGACTTTCTAATGTATTTATTGTTACCGATGTTTATTGTTTTTTATTTGTAGGGATTAGGCAATGTACCTTGTCTTGTTTAATTTGCAAATTATGTGTTAGGTCATGCAGATGAGTTGAGGATACTTATCAATTTTTTGCAGGTGGCCTATTCCTCCCTTGTTTGGCCAGTGAAAATCGTCCTGACAGGTGGTGCGACCGCTCAGACGCTGACACTTGACTCTTTCTTGTCACTTAACACTTAACTCTTTTGACTGTTTCACTATGTTAGTTTGCACTTGTCACTTTACTCTTTCTTATCACTTAGCACTTAACTCATTCTTGACCGTAGAGTAGTCTGTACTCGCTGTATTTGTTACACTATAATTATTTGTACTATGAGGGATTATTTGTTGGTTATGGTTTTCACGTTTTACGTTTTAAGCTCTGACTCAGCTAACAAGCGTCCTACTCTGTCAAGTGCTGGGACGAGACTGTACTAAACTTTTACTAAAATACATATTTATTGTGTTAAATTTAACTTTGCATAGTGTTTAACCACAGAACAAGTTAACTGTTAGATTTCAAATATTATAATTAATATAAATTATGTTATATATTAAAACAAATGTAGACATATTTTTAAATTAAATTTCTATAAGGAAATATGAAATAGGTTTGAGCCACTCTGTGTAATATTTAAAAAATGAAATATTAATATTTAATATCAAATTTTACTAAAGAGCGTTAATATTACCATCTAGCAACATTGCTATAAAACTATAAAGTGAGGTCATAACTGATCCGAACAACCCCCGCGCCGCCATGTCCCACGATCTTGAAAAAACCCTAAATTTTTGTTTTAATAACTTACGAACCGTTTATCGCACCAACGCCAACAGACTACCAAAATACTGTCAATTTTTACATTACATGTACATTTTTTATAAAACTATTTTGTTTACCGATGCGTTGTTGCATAAATATATGCAAAAAACTTTTTTGGAAATTGGTTTTCTCCCTTTTTACCCCCTTTGCGTTTTTTTTATTCTGTAGCTCAAAAAATCTTCCATAAATTGGTTATTTAACTTGATTGCATTGGTCCAGTTTGGAACTAGACAATCTACGCTAAAAGTCGCGAGCTCTGTTTCGCGGGAGCGTCGAGCGCAATCACGCAGCGTACATCGCGTGTTTTTTCTTTAATTACGCAACAATGTATTAACTAAAAAGTTAGTAAATTACAAAGTTCTAACACCCATTAAATTGCGCCTTTAATAGACATATTTTTAAATAACTTAAATTTGTTACCAAACCGAAAATTTTTGTTAAAAAATACCGCAATGGGGGTAAAAATATAGATAACAATTA